GCTGTTTTTCCTGGAGTTTCTGCAAGCCCAAGTAATGGACTGCCTTTAGCACGGAGGGAAACTTGCATCACATTACCAAAGCTATCTGCCGGATTCACCTGATCGTACGCAACGAATATAGCCCTCGAAAAGGAGCATGCTATAAGCTTGATGAGATCAGCTGCGGAAGACGGGGGCATGTATTGCATGACGCATTCGGCGAAGAGAACTGTGGGATGATTGGGGGAAAAGTACTGCGATGCCTTCATTAGGGAGTTAATCAGGTCGTGTTCCGTGCCACGTAAATCCACTCCAATCGCACGGTAATTGTTTCCATGCAGTTTCACCAGTTCTTGTGCCGGTTCCGCAACCAAGTCCTCCTTAAAGGCGCCTTTTGGAGCTGCCCGCACCAATTCCGACTTGGACTGCATGACCGATGGAAAGTCAACCTCGTAAAAGTGCACATTGGCGTATTGGGGTTCTTCTTTAAGACGCATGGCGAGAGTGTCGTATCCGGCGCCAAGGGAGATAACCTGCACGGGTGCCGCAATGGAGGAGTCAGCGCATTGAAGGTGACAAATGCATTTCTCAATAAGATCCGTAATGACCAGCATACGCAAATAGTACCCACGATTTATCAACGGGGAACGCCGAGACAACTTTCGCACGAAATGTCGAAGATACGGATCCTCAAAGTACCCATGGAACACCGCCGAGCGTTTGCTCACGACACTGTCATCGTTAGTACGCTGCACCGCAGCGTCAAAACTGACGTCCGCGGGGACACCCATCGCGGCACCGTCTTGCTTCATTGGAAGATGCATTGCCTTCGTTAAACACAACAAGAAGAAGATCTTTTTTCTTTAAGGCCCCCAAAACTCCCCCTCACCAAACGGAGAACGGCAAACACACAAAGGAGTACGAAGAAAAGAGCAAAGCCACATGTGCTTCCAATATATATATATGCGGACACATACATACACACGACAAAGAAGAAGGCGGAGACCGTGCGTAAAGAATGGAAGGTGGGACTTTTTATGGTTAAAACAGCGCGACGCCTCGCGGCTCATCACCCCTAAATAATTATTGAAAAAAAAGAAAATGTGTCAATTACAACTAGGATGCAGTCACACCACCACCACCGACGGTCACAACAGCAGCTGCTTCATCTCTCGTTGTTTCTGGAATCAGCGACGATGATGATGATGATGATGATGAGACATCATTATCAGCTCGAAGGAGTTGAGATTCATCTGCTGCCAGTTCATCTCCCTCCTCTTCGCCCCTATGTGGAGCACATCCCTTCCATTTTAGCACCGTCTGCGCCAACTCCAGTTTTCCGGCCTTGAGCAGGAGGGAGCTAAGTGTTATGCTTGTATTGCGTGTGAGGAAAAACCCTTTTTCCTCCATTTGTGTCAGGAGGGACGCCACCTTGGTGTGCTCCCCTGACCGCGCAAATGCCGCAACGCAGACATTGTAAATAAACTGCGTTTTAGGCAAATTCTCAGTGTCTAGTAGCTCTTGTAGTTTAACTGTGTCCCGCATCTTGGAGTAGATGAGATAAATAGACTCCACATCCCGATGACGGCATTCAGGGTGAGAAAGAAGGAGTGAGATATAATGCTCCATCCTCGGAATGTCACCAATGTGGCTGAAGCTCGATGCCACGGCCGACAACATTCGACTTGTAAAGGGCACACCACTGGCAACCATTTCCTCCACAAGTTTTGACGTCTCTTCCACCATGCGAGCACGTGAATATATGTTGAGGAGTCCCATGTAGCCAAACTCTTCCATAGGGATCTGCTTGCTCCTGCGTTCCTCCACCAACTCTTTGATATGTTCATACCGTTTTGCGCGTCCATACCCTTCAAATAAAATGTTAAAAGTGACATGATTTTCCTGAAACCCTTCTTCTTTCATCTTCGCCCGCATGGCCTCCATCTTTGCCACATCCCCAGTCTTTGCGTAGGCGTTCATTGCCTGATGATATGTCACTTGCGTTGGAACCGCGTTGGTAGACCGCGACATCTCTTCCAAGACGGACTCCATTTCTTCAAGGCGTCCCATTTTGCCAAGCATATCAACGACTGTTGTGGCTGTAACGGGGTTGGGCGGCACGAGCTTCATCATGGTGTTCAGTATCTGCTGCACCTTCTCCACATTATTGTTTGCCATGTAGAGATCAAGAAACTTGTTGTACACAGGCATTGTAATGGTCACCTTGGACTCAACAAGGTCACGCCAACACTCATCCACCGCCTGCGTGTCACCCAGGCGGGCAAAGGCAGAAGCTGCAAGAGCGAAAAACAGCGGAGTTCGTACCGCATTATTCATAAGGGCCTCGTGGAAGTAACGTTTGACCCCATCCAAGTCATTAAAGTACCCCAACGCTAAAACAACAACTCCAAAGATGCGTTCATTGATAACGACCTGATTTTCCTGCATCTCTTTCAGAAGTGCATTAAAGGTACGGCGGTCCTTACGCTTCGCGGCATCGCGAAGAAGAACACGGTACATGTCTGGGGACTTGTACGGCAGACGTGACACCAATGCGTGGAGGTAGTCATAACGGTTATGAACCGAATAAAACTGCACAATCTCCGCCTGCACAAGCTCATTTGCCAAAAGACCATAATTTTCAGCTTCGTGGATGATCGAATTACATCTTTCCATATCATTTTGATAAGACTTGAGGAGCTGGACAACAACGGCAGCGGAGAAGACGTTTGTGTTGCCCATCGCGACCTTGCTCTTGATTTCTCGGTAGAGTTGTTCCACCATGTGGAAATCTTGCAATTCCCCAAAGACACGCAAAAGTGTTGGGTACATAAAGGATTCAATCTGGATTCCCTTATTACGCATTTCGTTCATGTACTTTTCCACCATTCGAGGGTAATACTTGTCAAGAACACGGAAGACATGTTGATAGGTCTGAGCCGTGTGAAAAATTTGTTTTTCTTGCATTTCTTCCTTTAGAGCAATGACTTCCTTTAGATTATAGGCATGCGCATACCAACGCAGCATCTCGTCGTAAAGACGATGATCTCGCACAACCCCCGCGTTCTTCAAGGAGGTAAAACAACGATTCATATCCTCAAAACGACCCAACACACCATACCCCTTGATCAATGAGAGCAGGTACGACGGCTCGATATCATCCACAGTGTCATTCACCACGCACTCTTCCACGACACTTTCCAAGTGCTGCACCTTTCGCAGCATGACATCATCCCCGGACTTTTGACTTCTTGAAAGGAGTTCGCTGCACCTTGCAATAACAGCCGTCTCAGCAGCCATGCCGAGTGTTTGCACCGCCAACTCATGGCGAAGTGCCTCTTCTAGATTGTAAACCTCCGCTGCTGACTTTGCGCTGGTCAAACGAGATCGCATGATCGCCCCTATGGCTTTTTCTGAAAGCCTGACCCTGTGTTCCAAGGCCATTTCCTTCAGTTGTTCCATCCCATTGTTGTCACCACGGATTGCCACAAGACCTGTGGATAAGATGGCATCCAAATCCAAATAACCCTGGTTGGCTTTATGCGTAGAAAAAAGTTGTCGCACAAGATTCATAATTTCATCGTACCTGGATGTCATGCCGTATGCTTCAATGAGTGCTGTGTAGTCCGAGGTCACAAGCCGCTCTTGCGGAATTTCCTGAAGCAGTTCACGCGCCTCGTCGTATTCTCCGGCAAACTGATACGCAACGACTGCAAGCATCTTGAGAGACTCTTCGCCGCGCAGTTCATCCGCCATGTTTTTCATAAGATCCTTCGCGTTATCGGTGCGATATGAGTCAAAGAGATGCTTCACCAGCTGAAACCCAATCTTCATTCCATACCTCCGAAAGCGAATAGAGGCACGAAAAAGCAAATGCGCCATGTCTCCTTGGCGGAGGTCAACGCACTCCCTCATGAGGCTTTCCGCCAGCGCCAACGCATCGTCCGGGGCAATCTCACCCTTTTGCAGTTTGGACTGCAGCGCAATCATCAAGAAGGTGACGCTGTTGCGGAACTGTGTGATCCGCCGCCGGGAATGAAGCATCGACTGACGCACGTAGCGCGCAACGTGCCGAGGTTTTGTCGTGAGTACTGCCGCCAGCTGCGCCTCATCCTCCGAGGAGAAGGGGCGGTAGTGCCCAACACGTGATCCCTGCAATTGACATGGGGTTGAAGACATGAACCGCAGCTGTGACCACACCGCATAGCGGCCTGCGACAGTCTGCAAGAGATTTCCTCCACGACGCATGAAAACAACTCCCTGAACTGCTCTCGCAAAAAACCCGCTCACACCCCTTCCTCGATGTCTCGCACTTCTTCTCCCTTGCCCGTGGGAGGGAGAGAACAACACGAACACACACAAAAAGAAGTGGAAAAAAATAATATATTTTAAATCCACCACCACCACCAGCACTAGCGGCTCCTGCAGCCCCCTTCCAAAAAAAAAAAAAAAAAGTGGTTTCGACCTCTTCACTTTCGTCATTACCGCAAAAAAAAAAAAAAAAAAAAAAAAAGAAAGTGCATGAGTGCAATCAGAAAAGTGGGAACGCAATTCACATGTGCAAGATAAAAAAGATAATACCAATAATAATAAAAAAGCTCACTCACATCCAAACTCTTACTGAAGGAAAGGATATACACGGGTGGTGGTGGTGGTAGGAATATAGACACAGGGGTAGAGTGCACGTTGAGGGTCTCGGCTCCTTTCCTCATTTTTATCCCTTTCCCCCCTCCACTCTGGGGAGGTGTGTCCGTGATGCTTAAAACGTCTCCAATCTTCGTTCATTAAACCTCAGCCACCTTATTGGTGATGGTGAGCATCACTTTGTGTCATTGGACGGTTGGACAACCATCATCTCAACAAAATCAGGACTGTACCGAGGGTCAGAGTCGTAATCCCCATAGCCCCTAGCAAAACTGGAGGCTTCTAGCGTCACCAAAACAGAGTGATCCTTCAAGAACACCAGATGTTTCATCAGACCGCGCAGACACTGACAAAACAACCTACCAGCGCCCATTTGATGTCCTCCACATCCGTGAATCGCGGCAGAAAGTGCTGTCAGTTCTTCTCTACTTCCAAAGCAATTTTCGTAACGAGTCGTGTATCCAACTCCCTTGTTTTCCTCGAAAATAAGTTGCTGGTAATGTTGAGGGTAGATCTTCGCGTGTCCTCGGACAAGTGCAACACAAAATTCATTGTTCATCCACGCATGATTCTTATCAGCCAAAGCCTCCTGAATTGTTTCTGTAAGAGCGCTGTAGCATTGCGTATTCATAAGCGACCTATAGAACGGGACGTCCTTTGGGCTTGCATTGGAAAGCGTGTGGGCCCCCGCACCAAAAATCCCAATACCACCTAATAATGCAGCATAATAAGTTAGAAAAAGACTGCAAAGATCCCGTGCCGTCCGCTCATGCGGGTCCCGCATCTTGAAAGTGGTATAGCCTATCCAAAGTGCACTGAAGGTTCCTGAATTGGGCAGCGAGTGCTTTTCTTCATTGTGGTAGCGTACGCCTTCGC